CTGACGGCGGCCCCCGCAGCGGCGGCGCGGGGCAGCGGCCCCCGGCCCTCGGCCCCGCCAGCCGCGCGCCCACCCCGCGCCCGCCGGAGGGTGGCGGTCTCCGGAAAGCTGCTCCGAGCCCGGGTAAGGCGGGCGGGGAGCGCCGGGGCGGCGGGCGGGGAGGCGCCGCGGTTTCGCCGGGTGCTTTCGTTTTGGAAGGCTTCGGGGACGGCGCCGGTCCTCCCCAGCCGGGCAGTCCCTCCGAGCCGCCCGGCCGAGGCCGGGGCGCAAAGTTGTGCGGCGGCGGCGGCGGCGGCGGCGGCGGCGGCGGGCGGAGGGCTGGGGCCGGAGAGAGGGGCGCGCCCGGGGCAGCGTCTTCAGGAGCGGAGCGGCCGCTCTGCCCCCGGCGCCCCGCCACCGCGCCGCTCTCTTCCCATCCCGCGCGCCTGTGTGGGGAGGGGACGGGACGGGCGACAACTCTGCCGATTTGTGTCCCTGAAAAGTAAATTAACCCTTAGCGCGCGCCGCTCCCCCTCCCTAATTGGGTCCCCTCGGGGCTCCAAAGGTGCGCGGAGCACTCTCAGCCGGGCGGGCTGGAAAGTTCCCCCGGTGCTGTGGAGGGGTCGGCGTGGAGGGGCCCCACCGCGGTGCAGGGCGCGCAGAGGCAGCGGGAGGCGGGAACGGACCCCCGGGCCTCCGGGCCTCCGGGCCTCCCGCTCCGGAGTGAGTTGCGGGTCTGGGCTGGGGGGGGGGGGACGGGGTCTCCGCGGAGCACCCCGCGCCGGGGTGGGGGAGGGGTGGCGGAGAAGGCAGACGGTTCCCCGGGCTTTGCTCGGCGTCTTTTCCTTAAGGAAGGCGGTGTCGAGGGAGGGGGCAGCGGATCCGCTCCGGCCTTCACTACGGGCCGACTTAACCGCGCCGGCGGTTTGCCCCGAACTTGGCGGAGGCGGGGTGCCGCGGCGGGCTGCGCCCCGCGGCCGTGCTCGCCGCTGTCCGCGCGGACCCCGAGCTGTCCGCGGGTGGCGGCCGGGCCCCGCCCGTCCGCGGGGACACGCCCCGCCCCCAAGAGCCCAACTTTTCGGGGGCCCACGGGCCGGCCGCTGCGAGGGCGGCAGGGAGAGCGCGCCGTCCGGAGCAAGCTCCCTTCCCGGACGCCGGGGACACGGGGACGCCCAGGCCCGACGTCCACCGAGGCGGCGGTGAGCGTGGGGCAGCCCGGGGCGGGCAACGGCGGTGGGGTAGCCGGGGCCGCGGGGTTCCGTTCCGGGCCGGGCCTCCCCGAGCCTCCCGCGGCCTCGCAAGCAAGTTTCACACACCCCTGGTGCCCCGCGTCCGCTCCGGTGGGCTGCACCCCGCACTCACGCCCCCCATCCCCAGGGACCCGAGCCCCGCAGACACAAGTTTCCCACAGGGGAGCGCACAGCCCTGGAGCTCGCTGGCAGCCCGGGCAGCTCCGAAAGGCGCTAATTCAATAAGACAGAGAAACCCGAGTTCAGAAATCCTGATAAAATCTAATTTTCGGGTTTTAATACCCAGGCCATCAGCCACTCCCCCTCCCCCCCGGTCCTGAGGACTCTTAAAAGAAAATAAAGCGCATTGATTGCATTTGTTTCAGAGAGCTGCAGTTCCTTAATAATATCAGGTGAAGATTTATTTTCCAAGGAGAAAACGATCCGCGAGGATGCAACCTCTTACTCTGAATTTCTCCCCTGCCGGCTCCTCGCTCCCAGCTCTCCGCCGCGTTTCTCCGCGGACTCTTGCCTGAGTCCCCCGCCCTTTATTTTCTTTTTGGCAAAAATCTACTGTAATTTTCGAGCGCTGAGCTCACAGTGCCCCCTCGATGCCAGCAACGCCCAGTTGATTGACGGCTTGTAAACACGTTTCCCCCTGGCAGATTTTGTTGTTGTTTCCCCCGCTCCCATTTTCTAGGGAATGTGTGGTGCTTAAGCCAACAAAATTGCCAAGCAATTAATAGATTTGCGAGTTGCGCCGCTTGCTGCTCGCTGGGGCTCCGGCCTCAGGGCCTCGTTGCCTCCCCGCCCGGGCCGGGATCCAGCGCTGTCCCAGACAGGAGCAGCCGCTGGCCCTGCAGATGAAGCCGGCGGCTGGGCCCGCCTCGCGCCGCAGCCTGGCGCTCCGGTCGTCCCCAGCCGTCAGGAGCGCCCTACCTGTTAGTGAACAGTCGGGAGCCGGCTGCTGGAAGAATTAATTAGGGGCATGCTGTTTTCTGGGCTGCTCAGAGCTTGGCTGGAAACGTCCAAACCATTGCCGGAGCCCGTGCTATTTTATTTTTACTACATTTTCTCAGGTTGAAAGAGAAGAGAAAAGAAAAAAAAAAAAAAAAAAAGACGCTTGGTCACGTTCTTCCAGAGTTTTCTAGCAAGAAGCGAGCCCCGGGGCGGGGTCTGGAGCAGATTTGTGTCTGAGCGGTCAGAGGAGAGGTGTGAAGTGTGGCTTGGCTGGGTTCTCATTCATCTATATTAGGAGTCCTTCATCCCGAGAGGGGGCCGGGCCCGTCTTAACCTAGATGGATGAGGCCCACTGCAGCCAGAAGCAAAGGATGGCTGGGGGCTTCCCCCTGAGCAAGGAGCTCTCAACAGCCAGGCTAGACGGAAATGTCCTGGCCTCCTGCTTGTCATTTGTGGGCAGGAATGGGCTGTGTCTGGGTGGCAGTGCTTCAGGCAAACACAGTTAACTCCTCTGGGACGGTCAGTAAACAATGGCTGACAAGGGGCTTCGGGTGCCGGTGCCTTGTATGTGAGGTTTGGGAATTTAAATGCAGCAACTGTGAGCATTATAACAAGAATGATTAATAGCACCGACTTGTTTGTTTGTTTTCTACATCCATCACAATGACCTTTGCCCTGTTTTGGTGGGGAGCTCATGCTGGCCAGGACTCAGATTCTCCCATGTAGCAAACCTGGGAACACGGTAGAGTCTGGGAGTCATATGTTTCTAGACGCAGTATGCCTATTAGCCATATCTATTTTAGCTTTTGAATGATTACCACAGGCTTAAAATAGACGCTACCCTCTTACAATGATTGCAAACTGTTGGCCTTGGTCAGAGACTCTGACACAACCAAACACCCTGATTCCCGTGGAAGCTTGCAGCATCCTAGTTTCTCACTGTTAATCCATTTAATTCCTGGTTTCACATTGGGCGTGATGGGGAGCGGGCTGCCGGTGGCCCACACAGAGACCAGCCTGTTGGGCTGTGGCAGTCTCCTCAGCTGGAGGCTCTCGGCCTCCTTTGAAAACTTGGATGTTCTGGCTGGTCTGGCCCACTGTGCTAAAGCAACCATTAAACCCTTCGCTCCTGGGGATGCTTTAGGAAGTTCCTGGTCCTCTAGAAAGGATATGTCCACTAAACAAACATCCCCACAAATGAGGAGGTACACCACCTTTGTAATAGCATGCCATCTCTAAACATGTAACCCGGATATTAATTTAAAAAGTAACAACGCTTTCTCTGGAGATTTCACTAACGCAACCTCTTTTCTGTGCACATTTTGCCAGAGAGTGCTTGTTCTTATGTCTCTAACCACCCCCCTCCTTTTAATTTGTTGCAGGTGTTGCTGCTAATGAGCGCACTCTCTCTGTTCTCTCTTTACAATGAAAGCCAAGCCGGAGCCCAGGTACCTGGACGGAGTGAGAGCTGAGGTCTCAGGAATTTCACACTGAGTGGCTACTAGCCAAGGTCAGCCGGCCCCCACTCCTGCCTGTCCCCAGCAGAGCAGAGGCAAATGGCCTCTCCAGTTAACACTTCAGTGGCCTTTTTATTTTCTAGTCCAGTCACACAGTGGTTGTCACTTTCAGCTCATATGAAAAGAAATCTCTTTTATTGGTCTGAGATGCCAAGTCCAGTCCCAAAGAGGAGACTCGTTTCCAGCTAACATGTACACCTCCTGATTTTATTTTATCTTCACCACGCAGGCTGGAGGGCTGTTATGCAGCCGTGTTGAGCACATCACACGTTAAGGGCCCTTTAAAGACCTGGATTGATTGGAAGGACAAAAATTAAAAGCAATCTGATCCAGCCCCATGCCGGATCCCTGCGGATTTCCTCCTTATCCCATTTCCATCCACTGTCACAATCTGAGAGTCTGCCCGATTTGATCAGCTTCGCCTCCAGGGGAGGTGTAATGCCAAGGTTAGGAGGACACCAAGTTACAGACAACTTTTTGATCTGCCCATCAGCAGCCTGAGAAACGCTGGCTCTGGATTTTCCGTATCAGCCGTTTGGAAAACACGAGCTCCCACTGTTGGCAAGCCTGCAGTGCTCGGGTCTGTGGTACACCCCAGTCACCGCTGCCCGGTAGATGTGGCATTTCCATGCTGAGGCCTCAAGTCCCCCCTGACCCCACCACCACCTCTCCACTGCCCCTCTGGGCCCTACCCGTTCGGACTTCGAAGCCATGCTGCACCTGCTGGTCCTCTTCCTGCACTGCCTCCCGCTGGCCTCTGGGGACTATGACATCTGCAAATCCTGGGTGACCACAGATGAGGGCCCCACCTGGGAGTTCTATGCCTGCCAGCCCAAGGTGATGCGCCTGAAGGATTATGTCAAGGTCAAAGTGGAGCCCTCAGGCATCACATGTGGAGACCCCCCTGAAAGGTTCTGTTCCCATGTAAGTCAGCCCGCGGTTTCTATATTACCAAACTGAATGAGGGATGGGGGCGGCCGAGCAGAACCAGAGGGCCCTGACCCAAGGCCAACTCCAAGTCCCACTATGGAAAGGTGCCAAAACCAAGCTGCCCTGAGGACCCTGGGGGTTGAGTGACATTTTGTGGGTGGACGCAGTCTTGGCCAGCTGACCCTGGAATGGTTTCCTGCCAGGATCTGCATTCATAGTACCCTCAAAGCCAGCCCCTCCTCCTTTGCAGGAAGTCAGCATTCAGACCAACAATCTGGATACTGTTTGTAAGGTTATCCTCCAACCTGGATGGGTCACCCCTCTAGCAGCGCACCCTCCCAGCCTGCCTAGTCCAGTTTAGTACATAGCATCATGATCCCAGCGCAGACCAAGCACCAACCAGAGGGAGGCTGGGAAGGCTTGGAAGGAATTCTTGAAGGAGGGAGCAGGGGGTGGAGGGATCAAACTGGGTAGATAGTGCCCATGCTATCCCTTAGTCTCGGGGCAGGTGCTCAGGCCTTGTCATCTGAGCCCCTAGTTAGAGAAAAAGGGGTCTTGGAGCTAACGGGAGCTTCGCGCTCAGGCAATGTTAACAAGGGCGGTGGCAAGAGCAGAGTCTGGGAGGCTGAGAGGCCAAGCAGGGTTATTCCAGAGTGCTTTCCCTGGGGTGATTCTACCTTGGACAAAGTCAGAATGTTGAATCGGGGTAGCAGGTTTCAGACCAGTGTCACCATCTCTGGGCTCTGCTATGTCAGCTGTAGAATGGGGTTGCTGAGAGAGGTTGTAAGGGGTCAATGGCTCTGTGGATACATGTTGTTCAGGATCAGATGGGGCACAGAGGAGGTCCCAGATATTTGGTCATTCTGGTCATACAGATAGCCGGGGCTGGGGTGGAGAGGGGTGAAGGCCCTTGGCCAAGGTCACACAGCAGAAAGTGGTGAAGCTGCTGAGTTAAGCTGGACCTGCAGCAGCCTGTCTCTGGCAGAGGATGAGCAGAACAGCCAGAAGAGCAGGCAGGAGGGGTTTGATGTCACCCTGCAGGAGTCGGGTGCCTCTGAGTGTCCTTGGGGAAAGCTGGGTTTACGGCACGGTCAACCTGGTGTCCCCAGCCCAGACTCTGAGAAAAGGTGGCTTCAGTCACTGTGCAGAGCAGCTAGCTCGGGAAGGTAGATTCCCACTTGGGCTTGTCAGTGGTGATAAGGCTGTTACTGTGGGTGGTGCTGGGCCTGGGCCAGCTTGAAGAAGGGGAGGAGGAAGGGAGAAGACAGCCCAGGGCCAGGAGCCAAGATGGATTATGTGTGGACATTGTTGAGCATTGAAAGACTATGCTGGTTCAAGACAAGCAAAGGGGCCCAGGCCCTGATATTTAGGACGCTAGAGAAACCCATTCTGAGTCCACATCTCAGCCCCCGTGGGACCTGCTTCAACCACAAGCAGTCTCAACATAATTTTGTCTTTTAAATACTAATCATTATCAGGGTTGGGGGCAGTTCACAGAACCAGCTTCCACTCAAGGGTGTAGAGGGTACAGTGACAGATGTAATGGTCACTAGAGATAAATCTGGGGCCCTGTCCTGCTCTCCTGACTGGGGACCCCTCTGGATCTTGCTGTTGGCTGAGCTCTAGGGTCTGAATAGGTGAGAAGGTCCAAAAGGAACCCCAACATGGCTGAGGCCTCAGCATTTTAGCACTTGGTTGATGAATGCAAATGCTCCATGACAGCCACATACAGCTTGGCCTTTGATTGCAAATGGAAGACCAAGGAGGATGGGGTGCTGCAGGAGCCGGTGGAGGGCAGCCTTCTGCAGGAAGGCGGGCAGCACACTAAGTCTGTCTGAGAACCCCAGTAGTGCTTTTAACTGAGGTTCTTCTTAGGCAGGTCCAGAGAAGGCCACAGGCAGGCACTGTTGGACCATTTTGAGGGTGCCCCAAGGTAAACCCTAGTCTGATCCATTTTTAAGGATTAGGAAGATTGCCGAAGCCCTGCCAAGGTCAAGGAGCTTAGCAGGCAAGCCAGAACCTCGTCTGTAGCCAGAGCACATGCTGCCCCGCCAGGGTGCATGGCTTCCTCTCTGAGCCTCGGCTGTCTTCCTGTTTCAGTAAAAAAACGATAATGTAGGTGTGTCACTGAGCTGGCAGGAAGACAGCTGGGCCAGGCACGAGCAAGCACGTGGGAGTGTTTCAGTGTGCAATGGCCGTAACTATCTTACGTCACCGTGGTTATTGCTCCCTCGGTGGCTTCCTGGGTTTCTCTGCTTCCCTGGACTGTATTGCTTCCCTCCAGCCTTGACCACATCACAGTCTGCCTTTCTTGTCTATAGGCAGCAGGCAGTGGATGAAGGCCCAGGGAGTTTAAACGCCCTCAGCCAGAGCAGGTGTGGCTAACTGGCCACCAGAGGGCACCCTAGGGGCAGCCAGACACCCCAGTGCCCTCCTGATCTTATAGGTTAGGGCCAGCTCATCCCTGCTCTCTGGCAGTCCTCCTGCCTGTCCCAGCGCCCAGACAACCAGAGCACGAACCCTGGAACACCCTAAGAGAATAAGAGGGAACAAAGCAGCAGCTGCCCTTGTCAGTCCCCGGGGAGCCCCTACTCCCCCAGGTTCCTGTCCTTCAGCAAGGCCACTAGAGAACTGAATTGTAAATTCCAGCCTGGTGAGAAAGGGGAGGGGGATAAAAGACAAGATAAATGAATAAATAAAAACCTATTGGCTCTAAACGCACAAGGAAAATGAATAGGAATGAGCTTTCAGCAGAGGGTTCTTGGGCAAGGGCGAAATTTCAATGAGATCTGCAGGTCACAGAGGGGAGGGAGGAGGAGGAAGAGGAGGAAGAGGAGGAGGAAGGCAGCAGGAAAAGGCCTTTTAACTTTTCACAGGGTGGGCAGCTGTGGTCCCTAGGACCCCTGAAGCATGAGGCAAGTGCACTGGATCCTGAATGGGCAGCATCTTAGCACCTCCTGCCTGCAGCCTTCAGTCCCCTCTTTGCCAAGGGGACAGAACCTGAGACTTAGGACAGAGGGGGATGAAGGAGGAGGGACTCATTGTGCCCGGCCATCTTGTGGCCTCATGACCAGAGTGTGGTCCCTGGACCCTAGCCTCACCTGCCTGAAATGCCGACTCTCAAGCCCCGCCCTGGCCCTGCTAAGCTAGGCTGTCGGCCATGCAGACACAGGCAGGGTTTGGTGGGAAGCTTACTGTAAAGCCTCAGGAGGCCTGCCATTTCCTTGGGATCTCTACAGCTTAAGGGAAGCGTTGAGGGCTGCTCAAGGAAGAGAGGAGGGCAAGAGGGACCGGGGATCCTGAGAGAAAGGTTAGGGGTCAGGCAGAGGTCACGTGAGCTGAAACCTTGAACGGCAGGGTGGACCTTTTCAAGGCTCTGTGCTTCACTGTGTGTGAGTGACGTGGCGGCTGCTTCCAGGGGCGGAGACCTATTCTGCTGAGAGCTAGGGACCTGGAATCGCCTCTTGGCCTCACCACTCTGGGCTCCATGATCCAGAATAAGCCATTCAGATTCTCCGCACTGGGCTGTGGGTGTGCATCAGCTGCTGGAGCGCATGGCATGCACAAAGCTCAAGGTTCGCTAGCACTGTGTAACCCAGGTGCGGTGGCAGGAGGATCAGAAGTTCGAGGCCAGCCTGGGCTACATGAGATCCTGTCTCGATAGACAGGAGTGAGGTGGGGCTTTGGAGAGGGGATGGAGAGATGGCTCAGCAGAGGACCCGGCATTGATTCTCAGCACCTACATCATGGTTGACAACCATCTATAACTCCAGTTCCAGGGAATTTGACTCCATCTTCTGGCCTTCGTGGACACTGTACACATATGGTGCCCAGACATACATACAGACAAAATACAAAATACCCATATACGTAAAACACCTTTTTTTGAGGGGGGGGGTCAAGACAGGGTTTCTCTGCATACCCTTAGCTGTCCTGGAACTTGCTCTGTGAACCAGGCTGGCTTTGAACTCAGAGAGATCTGCCTGCCTCTGCCTCCTGAGTGCTGGGATTAAAGTCTGAGCCCCACCATTCCCAAGCATTATTTTTAACTAGAAATAAAAAAGAAAGAAAGAAAAAAGCTTGGTGACAGGTGCTTTTAATGCCAGTACTAAAAAGCTAAGAAGACAGAAGCAGGTGGATCTCTGCGAGTTCAAGGCCAGGTGGTCTCCGTGGTGAATTTCAGATCAGCCAGTATTATAAAGTGAGACCCTTTCTAAAAAAAAAAAAAAAAAAAAAAAAAAGACCATTGTCTAAGCCTCAGTTTCTTCATTTAACAGCCTGCCTTTCCTGGAGAAGGAAGCAAGTCTCAGAATCTGTGGGCACTTAGAGTTTGATCTGACCAGTAGAGCTAGCCTCCCTCTTGAATTTCCTTGCTGAAATGTGAACATCCAATTTGTCTAGCAAGCCTCCAGAAAGAAGACAGTTTGCAGTTCCATGCTTGCGCCTTTCAACATGGGGTATGACCTGCAGTTCTCCCGATGTGGCTAGCAGGAGACCACACCCAGGACACTGCAACAGTGCAGTCCCTGGCACAGGGGCATGTTTGCAGGGCCCTAAGAAGAGTGCCTCCCGAAAGGTGGTGGTGGCACACACCTTTGAATCCCAGTACCCAGGAGGCAGAGGCAGGCAGATCTCTGAGTTCAAGGCCAGCCTGGACTATAGAGTGAGTTCCAGGACAGCCAGAGCTACACAGAAACCCCGTCTCGAAAACAACAACAGGATCAATAACAAAAGTGTGCCTCCCTCTTGGTTTAGAGCCTAAGAATTTTGTTGGACAATGGATGGATGGAAGGCTTCCTGGAGGAGGAGGGATGAGTGTTGAGCCTTGAGGAAAACCCAGGGCAGCTGGAAGCCCTCCCTTTTCCAGACCCCCTCACGGCTGTGGGATTTCCCAGTTTTCTGCTTAACTCAGTTGTGGTGATGTCTTGGAGTTGCTCCATCAGTTGCTAGCTATAGCCATGAGCTCTCTAGAACAAGGATAGATAGATCCTGGG